TAACCCAGTCTGAAAATCAATTTAAGACTCTTCTCAAAAGCCACTTAATCACCCTAGACTAAATGCTAAATACTCAGTACACATTTACTCACCTATGTACTCCCACATCATAACTGAAACAATCACATTGAACCTTTTATCCATTGTTGACAGGAATATAATTGAATCATTGTTTTTCACAAAAGCATTTTAGAATATAAATATATCTTTGTATTTTACAAATTTTGATTCATTTATAATTAATATATTCTACTGTACAACTATGAAATAATTACTTTCTTACTGTACAACTATGATATACTACTCCTTAGTATTAAGTAGAATGTAAGCCAATAATGTTAAGTTAGCCCATAATGCCTAGGCATAATAGAGGCTCTCTTTGCATTGCAACCCACTATTGTATAGACACAGTCTCAATGTACTGTTTGCAAAGACATTAAATAAATAAATAAATAAATAAATATTATTTGGTAGGATGTAACATTTATATATTATTCAGTGCTCATAGTTCGAGTGCTAAGTAGCTGACAGCATTGTCTAACTACTGTGTTTTCTCTCCGCTCGTTACGCTGCCGGCTTGTGTGTTGCTAGGCAGCAGCAGTCCATGGAGAGTCACGTGATCGGGGGGGGGGGGGTGATCACACCTCACCTGGAGTAGTCTGTCTGGCCTGCTCGGTCTATTGTCTGTTGGACGTGCTTCTAGCAAGAGGTCCCTCTACTCCTCTCCCTTGTGGGCCCTTGGAAGATCGTCTCTGTCGCTTTCTTGTTGTTGGTTCTGTGCAACTCTTTTCACAGAACATTCCCTAGACTTAGTGATTTTCAACGTTGTACTGAGGTTGTGTGTCGCATAGACACTCTGAGATACTCAGGTCCTGAGCTGTAGCTTCTGACCTAAATTGTACTGGTATCTGTGTACTGTCACAGTCGGGGATTTTCTAATGCTGAACTTAGATTCAGTAGTATGGGAGTTTTGTGCCTTTTGTGGAGGATCTGCAGATGGTCCCTACTTAGTGTCGTTATGTTAGCTCCTTATTCCTGATTCTGTGTCGCTGTTGCTTGTTATATTGCTGTTCGGTTTATCAGTCGTTTTAGTGTTCAAGCAAGCTGTTCTGATTGCCAAGTTGGTCAAGAAGTTAGTTTATGTGAGGACTTTTAGTCAGTCACTGGTTAAGTCTAGTCAAGTCTTGAGACATAGCTAACTACTTAGAGCACTTACAGACATACACACAAACTTACTTGTATATATTTGTATTATGTTATTAAATGCTAACAATGTACCAGTCGGTACGTAAAAGCCATAATGATGTGATATGTGCCTTCAGCACAATACTACTGTACACGAGAGAAGTGTAGGAGCTTGTATCCTATATTATATTCAATTGATTACTTTAATTTACTTTGATCTTATATGCCTAGACTTTTTTGTTATTAATAAATTTATTAAATTTTAATTTCTTTAGTTAGTAGCCTGCCAGTTGTAATCCTGAAGCACTATTGAAACTTACTGAATTCTAATGGATAATTGGACCAGGATACTGACTACTTGTTGCAAAAACCCAGTAACAGGCTGGATGCTAGAAGGGCAGTCCTTTCTAGTATTCACTGGAGATCTCTATCATTATTAGAAATCGCATTTTTTGTAACAGCAATTGACACACAAAGTTTGTGAAGTGTTGGCAAAGCTAATGTAATGCCAGACAGCAAGCTACAAAATGTTCTTGCTTCCAGCGTCACCCTAGGCTCAACCCGTGCTCTAAGTCCAGCTCCAGCTCCCAGACAGGCTACCCATATTACAACCCAGGAGTCTCAAGGCCTGTTATCCTGGGTGTAAAGGGAGCAAAATAAACACAGAAGAAAAACTTTTGACTTGTATTATCCTTCACCAATTTAGAACAGAAGTATGTACACTATATACACTATGTACAACAATAGGTATTAGTGCACTCCACGGTAAGCAAGGCAGAATAGAAGCCACTAGAGAGCAGACCGTGCTTCAACCAGCTCTAGAATGGGAATGACAAGGGCAGACAGGTGTGTGGTACCCACAACACCTCTGCAATTTCCAAAACCATCTTCTCATTGGCTGGAACCTGGGTACTAATTGAACAACAGGGCTCCATCATCAACCCTTAGTATCTGGTTCGCTGGTTGGGGAGATAGCCTTTCAATGAGGGTGTGTACATGCGCCGAATAAAGATTACGTACTCTTTGCATGCCACACACATTAAATTTTGAGTATAAGTTTGTGCAATGGTTGCTAGGACACATGGATGTTGTGAGCACACAAATACTTCATTATGTAGATTTAACCCCCCCAGCCCCACCCAAAAAAAAAAAAATATTAGTTTGACTCATTTCCATAGACTCACAAATAGACACGCCTTCACTGGCCATATCATTACTAGAAAAATATTTCGAGGTTCGAGTATAAAGGACCATGGCATATTGTATGTATACCATTGTTCAAACACTTTCTTATAGAGTAAACCTGAGAATCTCTTCAATCGGTGCTCTCAATGTAGGAATCATATGAAGAAATTTGTCATTTAATTCCTCTATTGTATTATAGAGCATTAAACAGCGTACTTCATCTGGAGATTAGAAACACCAGATCCACGATCAAGTGTTTTAGTACTGCACTATAGTGTTACTTTCTTCTATTTAGTTAGTCACTATAGTAATATAGTTCTCCAGAGTGATCAGCCTCTGGCTCACTGACGAACTGAGGTTTCACCCTTGGGTAAGCAGAAGCATTGGGCATGTCCCGTAGCTCGATCACTAGCACACTCAGCTCACACACTGAGGTCCAAAGATCAAATCCCTAGTATGGCTGGAAAACATTAGGATGTGTTTCCCTAGGACAACTGTTGTCCATGTTCACCCATCAATATAAAATGGGTACCTGGGTGTTAGTGGACTGGTGCGAGTCGCATCCTGGGACAAAACTGACTTAATTTGCGGGAAATGCTCTGCATAATAATCGGCTTTCTATATAGTAGTACAATGAACCTCTACTTAAGAGTGCGTCCATGTGCGAGTTTTTCCAGATATGAGCAGCTGCTCAGTCGATTTTTTGCTTCCAGATGCGAGCAAAATTTCCAGATGCAAGCGGGCCTCAAGGGAGGTTAATTGACACTGGTGAGGGGGCTCTTGCTCTTGATCTAGGGAATTGGATCTCAGTTGTTTGTTGGACTATCTTATTGAAACTTGGGCAATGTATGATGAAAAGATGCTCCTTAACGTACACCAAAAATGAAAGAAATCAGACCATAAATAATGGAGTACACTTCTCAGGCATTAGCCTCCCCTTAGCGGTATATTTTCGTATGGTTTTTATGGTTGTATTCTCGTTTTATTTAGTCTCATGTGATAGAATGGAAGACATACTACAAAAATAAATATGGTTTTAATTGGTTTCACAGTGAAAAGTACCTTGAAATTGAGCTCAAAATAGCAGTAATGTTCAATTCTTTGGCGACATCAGTGGTAGATATCATGAGGTAGCAGTGGCAGACAATGTGAAACAGCAGTGGCAGACAACATGAAGCAACAGTGGCAGACATCATGAGGTAGCAGTGGCAGGCAACATGAAGCAGCAATGGCAGACATCATGAGGTAGCAGTGGCAGACAACATGAAGCAGCAGTGGCAAAGTGTAGCATCAAGAGTGTAGCAATTAAGTGTAGCATTAGGGGTGTAGCAGTTAAGTGTAGCATTAAGAGTGTAGCAATTAAGTGTAGCATTAAGAGTGTAGCAATTAAGTGAAGCATTAAGAGTGTAGCACTTATAAGTCACTCTATCTGACTATTTTGGGTTATCCTAGGTTCTCTACACATGTAGTCAGGAGCAGGAATGGCCACTGTGGTGGCCCTGTAAACCCCAACAACAATGGCTGCTGTAACCACCACTAGCCACATACCTAATGACATGTATTTCATTCATTCTAGTGTATATATCATGTTTCTATGTTATTAATATTGTTTATTATGTCATATTACATGAATTGTGATAGATAAATAAGCTGTCGAGTTGATATTAGGGAAATTATTAAAGTATTTTCTCGTGCCTGGAATTCCACTGGAACGAATTAATTCCATTTATTTATTTATTTATTTATTTATTTATTTATTTATTTATTTATTTTATGTCTTTGCAAACAGTACATTGAAATTTCAATTAATTTAAATGAGGAAAATTGACTCTGCGTATGAGCAAATCCAGTTGCGAGCAAGGTCATGGAACGGATTAAACTCGTAAGTAGAGGTTCCACTGTATGTCATTGATGTCAGGTATGCCTGTATATCATGTACATATACATGTAGAAATAAATATATTATTATTATTACACCTGCTGCCCTGTTCACTTAGCAGTAAGTAGGTACCTGGTCTTAGGTCACTGGTGTGGGTCGCATCCTTGGAGAAAGGATTAAAGGATTCCAGGGAAACTAAGACAGTCGATGACATCCTGGCTTTACTGGGTTATCTGGGTTATCAGCCCTCTGGGTTAGTGATATCGATCAAATCTTCATTTTCAGTGAGGCAGGTGACTTCTTGATGTTCTTGGGAAACAGAGAATATGGTATAGACTGATTTCTCATAGTACAGTAATAAACACAAGAGCTTTCATATATTTATTCTGTGTTTCAGTAAACTTAATTTAAATTATATTTAGGCTGTCCCTTTAATTAAACCCTTCCCCTCTCCCTGATTAACCAGGTTGTTGTTATTGATTCAGCATGAAGAGTGCATGAAATATCTTATAAATTAAATCAACATATCACGCCCAAAAAAGTTTAAACCTTACAGTGGGACAGAAACTAATACTGGGGACTAGAATATTATTTCCAGTTTTTGTGTTTATGTTTTAAGTTTTAGAAATTTTGGTTTATTGTTGTTATATTCATTGGGAACTACAGATAGAAGTTTGAGTTTAGAGTTAATACAGATTATTTTGGAAATATTCAAATATTCTGATTTAACGTAGTTATAATGTTCTTGCAGGTGAATTTGAGTTTGATTCTCCGTATTGGGACGAAATTAGTGATTCTGCGAAGGATTTTATTCGTCAGTTGATGTGTGTTGATGTTGAGAAAAGGTATACATGTAAGCAGTCTCTCGGTCATCCATGGTAAGACACTCTTTAGATATCCTGTAATTAACCAAATGATATCAATTCTCAAAATACTCAAAAATAAACTAGTGTGAGTTTTTTTTAGATTTGTCTACTAAGATTTTTTTAATCACAATTTCAAGATTCATTATGTTGTCATAAAGCTGGAATTTAAATCTCATGTAACCTAACGTGCTTCAAATATTTTAACTAACTCTCAGAATCACCAAAAAATTCTCATAAAACTCATAAAAACTTTGGATAAATCTTCTGGAACTCAAAACATTTCCTTTAAATTCGTATAAGCACAGCAGATAAAAGGTACATAATACCTACAATTTAATAAATAAAGCTTGTGTGTCATACCTGGGAATCTTTATTGGAGAAACATTTTGCTCTGCAGAGGCTTTATCAGTAAAATACAGAGACCTAAGGAAGATGACTTGGCAAGGCAACACCAGAGATAAAAGCAATGGAGCAATGATCTGCTAATAATAGTGGTCACATAAAGGTTGGGAGAGGCTTGTTAGTGGTAAAGTTTGTTGTGCGATGAAGCAGTAGCAGTAGTGGTGGACCAGCAAGGTTGTAAAAGGTTCTCCCCGTTATGAAAGCTGTGTGATATAAACACACTGGTCAAAGATATTCTCCAATGATTAGATCAAAGCTTTGGCTGACAAGTATGATTAGATCAAAGCTTTGTCTAACAAGGATGATTAGATCAAAACTTTGTCTAACAAGGATGATTACATCAAAGCTGTATAATACAAACAAGATGATAAACATGTGCAACATGTACCCACTTATTTGACAGACATTTCTTGCCCTCCATGGGAGAGTGGAATGTAACACTGATGGTGTTACATTGTAACAATTTCACAACAAAACATGAATCAGCCCAGGAAGAGCATAGTTGTCCCAGAGAAATACAGGAACAGAAGAAAATGCCTTGAATCGGCAATTATTTATGCCACAGACAACATTACCCAGGACCAGGGAAAGTTTGCAGTTCGCCGATTCCCCTGACTCGCATGCTCCTCAGAACACATACAACTCTCTTGACCTGATATTGTCAGTGTCGCACTTCACAACTTGTCACCTCCTGGCTATATATATATACTTACAGTATACTTACCATTGACTGTGAGAAAACTTGGTCGTTTTTTTAACCTCTTCAACCACTTAGTCGTTCACACTCGAGTATATGTACTAGCAAAGCTACTGAAAGTATTCGCTTCAGTAATATATGGCAGTTTACCACTCAGGTGCAGCTCTTTAGCCATACTAATGATTTCCTGTATCCACTCTAAATCTAAGTCTACCTAACTACTATGCTTTGCTGCGAGTTCAGTCTCGCCTAGTCATTTTCAGTACTTTCCTTACACACCCTCTACTAGTACATGTACATGCTTCATGCTAACATTAGTTCACATATTATATCCTCCTATTACTGTCGTTTAGGAGAGTGGACAATCAAGTCCCTATCCAACTATGTTGCATGATATGAAGCAATAGATATTCTGTTAGTATTTATATTATTAGGAAATAATATAATAATTAATCCTTAGTATTATGTTTTAATTAATATCACAATAATATATATATATATATATATATATATATATATATATATATATATATTATATATATTATATATATATATATATATATATATATATATACGTAAAAAACGTACCATCCGACTTAAGACCTACTCGACTTACGACCACTCGACTTATGACCATGTTTTTATGCCAAATTTCTGGGAAATGAACAACTATTTGTGTTGTACACAGTGTTTATCCTAAACCTTACAATATAAAATACAGTACTAACAGTATAAAAAGTAAAGTAAAACATGAAATACCAAAATAAAACAATAAAATAAAGTCATTACAAAAATGTTTTGTTGATATTCAGTAGTAAAGTTCGACTTACGACCATTTCGACTTACGACCGGTTTCTCGGAACCGAACTCGGTCATAAGTCGGATGGTAGTGTATATATATCTTTCTTTCAACAAACCAGCCATATCCCACCAAGGCAGGGTGGCCCAAAAAGAAAAACGAAAGTTTCTCTTTTTAAATTTAGTAATTTATACAGGAGAAGGGGTTACTAGCCCCTTGTTCCCAGCATTTTAGTCACCTCTTACAACACGCATGGCTTACGAAGGAAGAATTCCATTCCACTTCCCCATGGAGATAAGAGGAAATAAACAAGAACAAGAACTAGAAAGAAAATTGAAGAAAACCCAGAAGGGTGTGTACATATATGCTTGTAAATGTATGTGTAGTGTGACCTAAGTGTAAGTAGAAGTAGCAAGACGTACCTGAAATCTTGCATGTTTATTTATTTATTTATTTATTAATTTGAACATGATACAGAGAAGTACAAAAGAACACAGTTAAATGCAGCATGCCAAAGCCACTTGAATGCATAGCATTACGGGCAGGCTTAAAATTAACTTAAGATTAACTAAGCAATGAAGTATTCAGTGGTAAAACATTATTGTAAACAGATAACAATTAAGCACAAATGAGTATTACAAAAACAGGTCGTATGGTTGCTTGCATTGCTGTACAATCAGTATTTATTTATTTATTTATGGGCAGGCTTAAAATTAACTTAAGATTAACTAAGCAATGATATATTCAGTGGTACAAAAATTATTGTAAAACAGATAACAATTTAGTACAAATGAGTATTACAAAGACAGGTCATATGGTCATTTAATGTGTTGCTGTGTAATCAGTAGAATGGAGTATTATGTTAGGTAATGTAGTTAAATACGTAGTTAAATAGTTAAAAGACACCAGCAATCCTACCATCATGTAAAACAATTACAGGCTTTCATTTTACACTCACTTGGCAGGATAGTAATACCTCCCTGGGTGGTTGCTGTTTACCAACCTGCTACTGTGTAAAGGAAGAAAGTTGAAAGTGAACATAGAAAAGAGTAAGGTGATGAGGGTATCAAATGATTTAGATAAAGAGAAATTGGATATCAAATTGGGGAGGAGTATGGAAGAAGTGAATGTTTTCAGATATTTGGGAGTTGACGTGTCAGCGGATGGATTTATGAAGGATGAGGTTAATCATAGAATTGATGAAGGAAAAAAAGTGAGTGGTGCATTGAGGTATATGTGGAGGCAAAAAATGTTATCTATGTATGAAAGTATAGTAGTACCAACACTCTTATATGGGTGTGAAGCTTGGGTTGTAAATGCTGCAGCGAGGAGGTGGTTGGAGGCAGTGGAGATGTCCTGTCTAAGGGCAATGTGTGGTGTAAATATTATGCAGAAAATTAGGAGAAGGTGTGGAGTTAATAAAAGTATTAGTCAGAGGGCTGAAGAAGGTTTGTTGAGGTGGTTTGGTCATTTTGGAGAGCGTATAAATCTGTACAGAGAACCTTCACGGCGTGCATAACGGAGATAAAACACCTCAATTACTGGGAGCGCTTGAGGTTCCTGAACCTGTATTCCTGGAACGCAGGCGGGAGAGATACATGATTATATACACCTGCAAAATCCTAGAAGGACTAGTACCGAACTTGCACACGAAAATCACTCACTACGAAAGCAAAAGACTTGGCAGACGATGCAACATCCCCCCAATGAAAAGCAGGGGTGTCACTAGCACGTTAAGAGACCATACAATAAGTGTCAGGGGCCCGAGACTGTTCAACTGCCTCCCAGCATACATAAGGGGGATTACCAACAGACCCCTGGCAGTCTTCAAGCTGGCACTGGACAAGCACCTAAAGTCGGTTCCTGATCAGCCGGGCTGTGGCTCGTACGTTGGTTTGCGTGCAGCCAGCAGTAACAGCCTGGTTGATCAGGCTCTGATCCACCAGGAGGCCTGGTCACAGACCGGGCCGGGGGCGTTGACCCCCGGAACTCTCTCCAGGTAAACTCCAGGTAGGGGAAGGAAGGCAGGGTAGGGGTCATCCTCGAAAAGGTTGGATGGAGGGGGTAAAGGAGGTGTTGTGGGTGAGGGGTTTGGATTTCCAGCAAGTGTGCGTGAGCACGTTAGATAGGAGTGAATGGAGACAAATGGTATTTGGGACCTGACGAGCTGTTGGAGTGTGAGCAGAGTAATATTTAGTAAAGGGATTCAGGGAAACCGGTTATTTTATATAACCGGACTTGAGTCCTGGAAATGGGAAGTACAATGCCTGCACTCTAAAGGAGGGTTTTGAGATATTGGCAGATTGGAGGGATATATTGTGTATTTTTATATGTATATACTTCTAAACTGTTGTATTCTGGGCACCTCTGCAAAAACAGTGATTATGTGTGAGTGAGGTGAAAGTGTTGAATGATGATGAAAGTATTTTCTTTTTGGGAATTTTCTTTCTTTTTGGGTCACCCTGCCTCAGTGGGAGATGGCTGACTTGTTGAAAAAAAACAAAAAACAAAAAATATATATGCAGTGGACCCTCGACTAACGATCAGCTCCCAACTCGACCAGTTATGTAAGTGTATTTTTGTAAATGCTTTTGTACGTGAATTTTTGGGGGTCTGAAACGGACTAATCCATTTCACAATATTCCCTATGGGAACAAATTCAGTCGGTAACGGCACCCAAACAGACGTCTGAAATGAAATAAAATCGTTAGTCGAGGGTCCACTGTATATATATATATATATATATATACATATACAGTTGGACCCCCGCATAACGATCCCCTCCGAATGCGACCATTATGTAAGTGTATTTATGTAAGTGCGTTTGTACGTGTTATGTTTGGGGTCTTGAAATTGATTTAATCTACTTCACAATATTCCTTATGGGAACAATCGGTCAGTACTGGCCCTGAACCAGACTTCTGGATAAAGTGAAGAAAAATTGTTCACCGGGGGGGGCATTGTGTATTATATATAGTTATATATATCATAATTTGAATTATAGAGTGATGGAGTATAATGTATTTATACTAGTTTATATACAATAATATATATATAAATTAATAATATATATTTTATTATATAATTTTGACTGAATTGATATACATTATACTA